AGTCCCTCGAGCCACCCTCCCAGATCTGCGTGCTCCAACGCCCTGCGATGGGAATCGTGTGCCGTCAGTTCCAGGCATCTCCGGCAGCCACGGGGACCCGCCACGGGGTCCTGCTCCCCTTTCTCTCTCTCAGCTTGATCCCTCCGCTACACAGGTGCCGCCCTCGTCCTCACATCCCTGTGGCTGTCATCACTCCAGGGCAGGCAGGGCTGGTCGAGGTCTCTGGCGGGAACCGTCCCCCAAGGCCTGCTTTGCTGGGTCGGTTTTTCAATTGAGTTTTAAGAGCCACCTGCTAATGCAGTGGACAAGGTCTGGGGCAAATCCTGGCTCCTGGCGTGGCCAGAGCAAGCATGGGCTGTTGTTCTGACCACACCGGTCTGTGGCGGGAGCAGGATCCTGCATGGCCGGCACAGTCAGCCTGCAGCAGCATGGGGCAGTCCGACCTCCGGTGATTCTGCTCTTTCCTCATTAGCCCATGTGCCTCGTCCTGCTTGCAGACACGCAGGTCAGAGCTGGGGTCCAGAGCCTGGGGACTGATGCAGTGGCTTTCGTGGCTGGACACCATTTTTGCACTGCCTGCAGGCTCAAGCAGACCTTGTGCCGCGGGCTCGCACTCGGTGCCGTGCGGGTTACCTCTGCAGCCGGGATTCCACCCTCCTGGGGCACAGGTCCCTGGGGCCAGGGGCTGCTGGTCATGCGTGGCTGCAGTTTGGGGTTCGGTGCTGGTGCCAGATGGGGTGAGCCCTGCCCTTGCTGGCTGAGCCACGTGGCCAGGGTGGGCCGACCTGGCGTGAGGGTCATGGGGGGTTTGTTCCTCCAGGGCCCTCTTGGGGTGCACGTAACCCCTGGCAGCAGCTGGGCGCTGCCAGGCAGGGCCGGGGCTCCGAGTGTCCCTGGGCAACGGGCCGTGTCTGCACAGGGCCAGGAACAGGTCAGGCCAGGACGTGTCTGGGGGAGTTTGGACAGGGCTGATCCTGCCTGGGCGAGCTCCCCCGGCTGTGCTGCACGTGCATGACCGGACCGGGGTGTCCCGCTGCCTGCGGAGAGGCCCGTTTGGTGCCTGGGGGAGGAGCGCAGGAGGCAGGGAGCCAGGCGTCCCCGCTCTCATCCAGCACGCCGGCTCCTGCCAGCTCCCCACTGTGCCCTGCTCCTTCCACCTGGCCCCAGGCACCTCCGTGCCCCTGGGAGCGCACCGCGGTGGGGAGCTGGGCAGAGCAGTCGAAGCTCCCGGCTCCTTTCGAACCAGCCTTGGCCAAATTTCCCCATCCCTGGTTCGTCACCAGCGTGGATGACTGGCCAGTCCTCCCCCTGCCACAGCGTGGCCAAGACTTCTTTTCTCCTTCACTTCATCCCCACCCTACGCATCATTAATGCACCGGAGCCGCACAACTGCTCTGTCGTTCACACGTGCCAGGTCCTCCTGGGTGTACGGGTATGTTGCACGCGCGAGGAGGCGGTTGGCTGTCTGTGGTGCATTGCCACGCGCACATGTCGGTCTCTCCAGAGCGAGTCCTGTTTCGTTTAGTCCACATGTTGCGGGGGAGCTTGTACCCGGGTGGACAGGGTGTTGGGTGGCTTGAGGTGAGACTGTCTCATCCCACATTTTGTGGTGTTCACGTGTCCCCCGGCGCCACTCCCACCTCCGCATGGTCACGCGTCTCGTATCAATGAGTTCCTACACTTGAGTCGCTGATGCCTGGGTTGCGCCAAGGCTTCATGAAGCAGCTGCGCCTGGTTATGTTGGGCGCGCTAAGCCTGGCCGAGAGTTGCCTTCTGTTTTAGTTGCAGGGGTCGTGTCCCTGGTAGTATTGGCAGCGTGCTGTACTGTGACCCGGGGCACAGGGGACAAGAAGCTGAACAGGAGCCAGCAGTGTGCCCTTGGTGCCAAGAAGGCGACTGGCATCCTGGGCTGCATTGGTAGCAGATGGAGGGCAGTGATCCTTCCTCTCTGTTCGGCACTGGGGAGGCCACATCTGGAGTCCTGTGTCCAGCTGTGGGCCCCACGACAGAAAGGATGTGGACACATTGGCGAGAGTCCAGCAGAGGACAGTGAAAATGGTTGTGGGGCTGGGGGACAGGACTGGCGAGGAGAGGCTGAGGGAACTGGGCTGATGGAGTCTGCAGAAGAGAAGACCGAGGGGGATTGAATAGCAGCCTTCACCTCCCTGCCGGGGGGCTGCACAGAGGACGGAGCTGGGCTGCTCTCAGTGGGGGCAGACAACAGGACAAGGAGCAATGGGCTCAAGCTGCAGCAAGGGAAGTTGAGGTTGGATATTAGGAAAAACTTTCTCGGAAGGAGAGCGGTGCAGCACTGGACCAGGCTCCCCAGAGAGGTGGTGGAGTCTCCATCCTTGGAGGTGTTGAAGACCCGGGTAGACAAAGCCTTGTCAGGGATGCTGTAGTTGTGGCTGGTCCTGCTTGAGCAGGGGTTGGACTGGATGTGACCTCCCGAGGTGCCTTTATTGTCTCTGATCACCCCGTTACTGGTGTCTTTGCCGAGCTGAGGGCACCATCCCCTGCTGGTGTGGCTCCTGCCCCCCACGCTCGACAGCAGTGTGCACCAGGTGCGTGTCCTGGTGCAAGTGTGCATGTCCTCGGAGCGGTGCAACTGGCTCCCCCGTTGTTGCTGCCAGTCGCGTGATTGCACCCGTGCCAGGGTTGGCCCGAGACGTGCTGCCCGGGGCTGTGCGCGTGCGAGGGGGGCTCGTTGCCATTCAGGCCCGTCCTGACCCGGAGGCGAGCGCCAGGTGCAGGGGCGAGCTGGCTGTCTGGAGCCGGAGACCTTTGTTTTCCCCTAAACACAGGCTCATTTCCAGGGCCCGGGGCCTTCCCGGCTTTTGTCCCCGCGCTCTGCCACAC